AAGCCCATCTGGGTACAGTCCCTTCCCTGACCTGCATCTGAAAAGGCAGTAGATGGGCATAGACCTGGACCGCACGCAGTTTAGATTAGGTTTCCCTCTTCTCTTTGCTCTCCTCTTCCAGCCTCCGCAACCGTTCCTTAAGCAGCATCTCCCCTTCCAAGGTGCCCCGCAGCCTTCAGGCTGATGCCCTGCATGGGACAGAGAACGCAGAGGTAGGGCTTCCTGGCTACACGGGCCCCTGAGAGCCACAGGCCTGCAGAGCCTCGGATGGGCCCAGACCTGCAGCTGCAGCTTTCCAAAGAGCCCCCTGGAGTAGGTTCTTTGAGCTTCAAGGAGAGGTCAGCATTTCGATCTCCTGTTTTCACACGTCTTAAATGGATTTCAGAAGCACTGTCTTGGCCTCTGCTCCGCTCTTTAAACAATGTGGTGAAGCCGTTGTAGTGTAGCTAGAGGCAGCATTCCTCCTGCATTGTGATGTGGTTTTTGGAAGTCATGCATGCAGTTAGCTAAACCAAACTAAGCTGCTTCATTAATGGGAGCAAACTCAAGAGAGAAATTGTGAATAGAAACAAGGCAAGTTTGCCTTCCACCTCTAATTCAAAACGCCAGATAATTAAGTGGGCGGAGAAAGGAAGGGTCCCTTCTGACTCCAAGAGCCGACTCTCTCTCTCTCCTTTTCCTTTCTTTATTGGGCAGCGGTGGTGGTTGTGTGTGTGTGTGCTGGGGACAGGGGGTCTCCCTGGTGGCTCAGTTGTAAAGAATCTACCTGCCAATGCAGGAGACGCAGGTTCCATCTCCAGGTCAGGAAGATCCCCTGGAGAAGGAAGTGGCAACCCACTTCAGTATTCTTGCCTGAAGAATCCCATGGACAGAAGAGCCTGGCGGGCTACCATCCATGGGGTCGCAAAGAGTTGGACACGACTGAGCGAGTAAACAGCAACAACTTGGGGGTCGGGGGGTGGGTATTCAGGGAGACCTTCTTGTAGAAGGTCTATGGATCCCCTGAGTAAGGCCCCTGGATCCACTGAGTAAGCTTTTTTAAAACCATCATAAAGAGAACATAATAACTGTTTCCAGTCCCGTTCAGCTTCCCTCCGCTCAGTTCTTTTATCCGGTCCTCAAGAACAGCTCCAAATCATAACCTCTCTGTGGACCCGCCCCCCGGTATTCCACCTCTGAGCCTGGGTTCTAGGTTATGAACTCGGTGACCCCTGCGCCTCCCATCTGCATGTGCCCAGATGGCACATTCCCTTCCCTTTTCCTTCTCCTCCCAGGACAGAAAGAGCCCCTCTTCTTTGCAAAGTCGTTTCCTCCACTGTGTGCTGGATCTCATCATGAGCTTGCTTCATAGTTCCCCTGCAGCTCATAGCTCAGTGTAATGAACATGTCCCAATCACTTGAATTCCAAAAAGAAGTCTTCCCTCAAATCTCCCTCGACAGCTCCCATCCCTACCCTTGCCTGCTTGCTTCCGCCCAGACACATCTCAACACAGTCATCCACCTCGCTTGCCACAGCCACACGTCCCCACCGCAGCTACCCCAACCTCTGCCAATTCTTCTGGCTTCTGCTCTCCCATTCCCCAGCTGGCCACCACGGCTGTCGAACCTTCAGACCCAGTAGACCTCCCCATCCGTTTTCTATTCAGCTCTGGACAAGAGAGGAGGAGGATGGTTAAAGTAAATCTTAAGGAGTGGGAGGGCTGGGGTTGGTTCTCTGGCGCTTTCTCCAAGAGAGCCTAGAGTTTCAGACAAAGACATTTTTCATCTACCAAGCCGCATATTTTTACTTAGATATTTAAAAAAGCAATCTCAGCCTCTGAAGGAAAATGTAACATTGATGCCAAATCAGACGAGAACTAGCACTTGGTATCAACAGGAATATATTTGAATTTAAAAAGGCTAGCTGCATCTGACAGCAATGTGTCTCTGAGACTTTTGTCAGAGTTGGGGGTGGGGAAGAAAGGCGAAGACTCTTCAATAAATGTTTATTAAGACAGGGGACAGGTGATGAGTAGGGTGATCGTCTATGACCTGTAGGAATTCAGGGAAGGCTACACATCAGAATTTACACTTAGGCTGAGTCATAAAGGGATAGGTAATTTCCAGTAAAGAAAAGTTCAAGGCTGAAGGCAGAGGGAAGGCTATGTGCTGGTCAGGATGTTTGGAGAAAAAACTGACACTTCCAGGAAATGATGAGCACAGTACTTTGAAGCATCTTATAGTCCCTATCATCTAGTATTGTCCCCTATCAGACCCTTTGGCCCTGAAATTTGGATAGTTACAAAGAAACAGCATATCCTGTAGTAATCTTTGTTATGCCTAGGGATGAAGACTCACTAAATGTATGTGAGCTTAGTCACTCAGTCATATCTGACTCTGCAACCCCATGGACTGGAGTCCACCAGGCTCCACTCCATGGTTCTCCAGGCAAGAATACTGGAGTGGGTTGCCATTCCCTTCTCCAGGGGATCTTTCCCGGGTTTGAACCCGGGTCTGCTGAATTTCAGGCAGATTCTTTACTGTCTGAGTCAAGTGAGTAACCAATTCCTCATATGCCTCCCTAAAGCAAATTGTGTGCTTTTGAATGTAGACAACGTATTCAGTCAAGGCTATCTTTCCCCTCAAGTTGCCAGCAGCCACAGAGGTGGGTGCAAAGCCTTCCCAACAGGAGCCTTGCAGTCTTGCAAGTCCTAACACCTTCAGGGGTAGGCACTTCTCTCACATTGCATCTCTGTCCTCACCATTTGTGAGCTCTTGGAAGACAAGTGCCACGTCTGTTTTGTTTGTTATTACCCAGTGGCTAGCACCAAATTTGTGCTCAAAAATACTGGTGAAGGGCATGGGTGATGAGACCAGCATTCCATGCTTTCCTTTTTTAAACAAATATTTGATCACCCTTGGTCTTAAGTTATGGCATGTAAACTTTAGCAGCATGTGGGATCTAGTTCCCTGACCAAGGAGCAAACCCGGGGCCCCCTGCCTTGGGAGCATGGAGTCTTAGCCACTGGACAACCAGGGAAGTCCCCATTCTGTGCTTCCTATTCAATAATTAGAGGGTGTCTATCTTCCCTTCTGTTTCCAAAGGAACACTTCTGTAAGTTCCTGATTACTGTAGAGGTTGCCAGCTTGAGTCTTTCCTGGGCACTTTGGTAGACAAACCACACACTTTCTAGCCCCTTTGGGTAGGTGGGGTTGGTTGTATGACCAGGTCTAGCCCAGGAAGCAAGACTGGAAGTGTGTCTACTTCCTGGATGAGATATTTGAGTGGGTAGACCACCTCCAAGCTTTCAGCAATGACTCCAGGATTCATGGGTTGAGATGGCAGCAACATCAGATGGAGGAGCTAGGATTCCTGAGCCACTAGATGGAAAGGCATTTCCACTGACCCTCACTGGAAATTGGTGTTAAGAACTAACTTAACTAACTAGCTCTATAGAGCTAAGCAGTTGTCTTGTTACAGGTCCTACCATGATTAATTTATCAGTATATTCCACTTCCTCTACATAAAACTGAGTGGGAGTATGGATTAGGCATGAATTTAATAAAAACAATGTTCATTAAATATTTGATGGAGGCCACGAATGGGCTTCTCTCATAGCTCAGTTGGTAAAGAATCTGCCTGCAATGCAGGAGACCCCGGGTTGATTCCTAGGTCAGGAAGATCCCCTGGAGAAGGGATAGGCTACCCACTCCAGTATTCTTGGGCTTCCCTTGTGGCTCAGCTGGTAAAAAATCCGCCTGCAATGTGGGAGCCTGGGTTTGATCCCTGGGTTGGGAAGATCCCCTGGAGAAGGGAAAGGCTACCCACTTCAGTATTCTGGCCTGGAGAATTTCATGGACTATACAGTCTGTGGGGTCGCAAAGAGTCCGATGCTACTTTCACTTTCACAAAAGGAATAGCTATGTTTTACAATGAACAAGTCCATTACATCACTTTCTCTCCTGTAGGAAAACACACAGAAGAAAGTTCTTTACCTGAAATCCTAGAAAAGGTTGAAAGTTTCTTGAACATTCAATAATAAGTTACTAAAACAGTACTTCTGGATTAGCCTTTTATGCCATGCCTCCTAGGAAGCCCAGAGCCAAGTACGTAGCATATGTATGTTTTCATGGAGTGCATTTTTGCCAATTCTCTACTATGGTTTTGCTATTCAGTCATTTCCCCAGTGGATCTTGATTTACCTAACTTTGTTTTCTCTAATTGGGTTTTATGCACTCTTGTAAGTCTCCTAAAATCTTTCCTTTGTGAAGATGATAAAGAAGGAAGGGTGAAAATCAAATGTTTACAGTGGGCTCTGGATGTAAGCCATTCTTAACACTGATGAAGGCAGACCGTGTACAACAGCTTTGAGATTAGAAATCAGTGCTGTTGATTTTAATTTACTCTTCTAGGTTTCATGACTATTAATTTTCCCTCTGATTTATAACAGGGTAGCTCAAAGAATAAGTTAATGATGATAATTACTGGTGCAGGATGCATAGTAAGTTTGTGGCAATGGTTGTGACTTGCAGTTAGATGAAAACAACTGTGCTCACAGGTTCAGGGTCCCCGGATGATGTTCAGTCCCTGGCATTTCCTCCTTCTGAAGGTTGATACACCACTTTGATTCACACTGGTTTTTTTTGGCCATACCATGCAGTTTGTGGGCTCTTAGCTCCCCAATCAGGGATTACATTCATGCGCCCACGTCCCCTGCATTGGGAGCTTGGAGTCCTCATCACTGGACTGCCAGGGAAGTCCTGGATTCCCATTTTTGACAGAAAACATTCCCTTCATAAAATTCCCCCAGTTGGTTATAAATATCTGATGCAGAAATGTTAACATTTAAAAACCCCAGCTCATACCTCACCTTAAAGTCACCTTTGCTTTTCATAATGGTTTAGATTCAATGGTTTGAAATAGCTTTCATGCACATGTATTGAAAAGGCAATGCTATATAATTTCTACATTTCATGTGTGTAGTCATATCTGTAAATGATTTACAACAGATGCACATAGACACATGTGAAAAAAATTCTTTATTAATTTCTCACATTTCATTACAAAATGTATGTTGCAAACAACTTGAATAACCTACTTGTGTGTTTTCTGTTGTTTTTTTTAAACCCTTGGCTTCAAGAACTCAGGATCTCCCTATCTTTTATCAAGTTTTGGGAAACACTGATTATTGGAGTCAATAGGTTATCATTTTCCTATTTATTTTCTTCTCTCAAGCTCTGAAAAAAAAAATGTCCTCTGTATAAATTAAACAAAAAAAAGTTGTAAATTCTATGTCATTACAGTCAACAGAATTATAATAATGCATCCAAAATGTGCGGCCACAAAATATCAGGTATATGTTTGAAAAAAGAAAAAAAAATGACATTCTAGCCTTGTTAAAAGGATAATGGTCCCATATTTTTATTAACAGGTTAGCAAAACAAAATCCAATGGATTACAATATTTACATGTTATTTGAAAAATAAAGTAGTGATAAAAGCATGTCACAATTATTTTCTTTTTTTCCTTTTTTCTTTCCTTTTTTCTTCTTTTTTTTTCTTTTTCTTTTTTGGTAACCATTACAAACACCCAATCCAGGTATGGAACTGTTTAGCACATTTGAAATGAGGCCAATTAAAAACAAATATGGACACAAAATGAATCTTTTGTCTAGATACTTTCCCCCATATTCTGGTTTCCACATGATGGCCCCCATCCCTAAAAAAAAACTTAAATTAAAACAAACACCCACAAATAAAAATTCTTAACAGCAAGAAAATAAAAGAAGAACATGCTTTTCAAGTAAGCACTTATTCCACAAATGCAATATCTTTCCATGGATTTTATTTGAAGCTGTGTGGGACACTGTCATCTCAGCAATTCCCTTCCCTTTCTCCCCCCTCCCCCAACCCTTCCAAGTAAAAAACAAAACAAAACAAAACAAAAAAAAACAAAACATGAAAACCAAAGGACTCGCGCACACACACACACACATCCACACACACACATCCAAGCTCTCTCACACACAGGCTTCTAAAACCTAGGATTCAAGGAAAGTTCTACTTTTTTGGAACGAAACCCTTTGTTCACAATCAGAACGCATTATAAATGTAGACTTAGATTTCGTCTAAGCTGCTCCCTCCTGAAAAAGCTAATATGGGGAAACAGAGCAGCTGGCAGCTAGATTAAAAAAAAAAAAAAGTAGTTCTCCAGGCTCCTTGTAGGATATAAGCATTTCTTGAACACTCTCACCAAAGGGATGGGATTTGAGCACATCCCTTTGTCCCAAAAAATAAATGAGAATCCCCCCCCCCAAAAAAAACCCACAATGCAAACAAAATCAGAACACAGATTTAGAAATCACACACAAAAGCCAGCCCATCCTAACAGAGATTATTTGTGTGAGACGGATAATGTGTAAATTTGACAGCAACAAAAGGGTGAAGAGGACTTCCTCATCTGGCCCACAAGCTGCATAGAGGTGCCGAAAAGTTTGGTTCTTTAGTTAAATTAAAAAAAATGTTAACTTCTTTGTTATTTCCATGTTTAAAATAAAAACATTCCTATTCACAAAAAACTAAATCTCCCTTGCCCCCAAATCAAAACAACAATAACAACACACACACAAAAAACAATTTATATGAAAAACTGAATTGTGCTGTGTTTGTAACACTCAAACTGATAGAAAATAAACATGTGGCAAACAAAACTCCAAAGTCACCTTAAAATTAGCTCACATGAAATCTACCAAATTCTAAATTATAGTTGAACACTAATAAACAGCTTACCTGGAATAAAGGATGACAATTCACAAACATTTATCTAATAATTAAAGTCTGTTTCTTTTTTTTTGTCTTGTTTTTTACTAAAATAATTAAAAAAATCACAGTATTTTAAGAAATAAAACCCACGTGGGGATTTTAAGCACAATTTGTGTTCCTTTCTTTAAAACTCTTTTTTTTTTTTCTCCATTCACCATCTTGCCCAGCAGTTCTCTCTACATTTAACCACAATGACGACAGGTAGTACTGACAAATGCAGAGAATTCCCTTGGTTAAGTTTGAGGTACTAGGAAACAGGTGACTGTTTTATGCAAAGCAGTTTTTTTTGTTTTGTTTTTTTGTTTGTTTGTTTTTTTGTTTTTTTTTTTTCTGTTTGTTTTTTCCCAAAGCGGCTGCAGTTAGGTCTTGAAAAAGCTTAAGGTATTAAAACTAGAAAAACGCACCAAAAGTTGTGCGTCAAAAAGTTGTTCCCCTAAGAGAAGTCTTCTACTGTCACGGAGCTTCTCTTTCCACATACGGTCCAAGACCACCACAGTGCACAGATGTGCAAGGGAGGTGCTTCCGTTGCTTCCGCAACAAACGAAACTTCCACGATGAAGATCCGGAAGGAAAGACGTAGTGATGGAAAAGGAGCCACATATTCCAACCATTTAAATAACTTTAATTTACATACTCACTCACACAGGTACCAGTGCTTTGAAAATAGATTGTTCAGTCCTAAAAAGCAGCTTTGTTCTGTCTTCTTTTTTCTGTCCCCCCCTTCTCAGCCCAAGCTGGCCCTCCCACTTTTCTTTTTCATCGCGGTTCAAGTAAGGGGTGATTAAGAATTTCACCAAACGCTTATTCTTTTTTGGCCTCCGCATTCTCCAGGAGAGATTTGTCAGCAGCTACGACACAGATGGCTACTGGTTCGTTCTTTAGGGAAAAGTCTATCCCGATTGCTTCATCATCTTCCTTTTCCTCTATAGAGGGCATCTTAATACTGTCCTCCACGTTACCCTTCAGGTGGATTTCTTCTCGGCTCACCTGCTTGGTGTCATTCAATGCCCTGGGAACACATTCATGGGAATGACAGGTGAGTATGTGTATTTTTCTCTAGTTAAAAAAAAATTCACCTCCTTATGTCTCTGAGCCTAAAAAGGTCTTGGGGGTCTTATAAGTGCCACAGACATATTATTGACTGGACTGTGAGTGATTTATCCCTGCTACCTGTTATACTTAGCTCATATATTTCTGGTATCTTATTAAAAATCTGAACCCATGAAAATGAAAAGAAAGTGAAAACACTGGTCGCTTAGTTGTGTCTGACTCTCTGCGACCTTGTGGACTGTAGCTTGCCAGGCTCCTCTGTCCATGGGATTCTCCAGGCAAGACTACTGGAGTGGGGAGCCATGTCCTTCTCCAGGGGATGTTCTCAACCCAGGGATCAAACCTGGGTCTCCTGCATTGCAGATGGAGGATTCTTTCACATCTGAGCCAGCAGGGAAGCCCTATCCATTATTGTATTATGTTTTGATTATGTCATTCTTTGCTTCTAGAGCAACAAAATCATCTTATGTTCCCTCCTATACTGGGAACAATACAGTCATAAGTGGTCATAGCAAGAACTGTCTTATGTTCAGATCCGTCAGAGGAACCTAGGAAATGCAGACTTGCTATACCTATCAGGACTAAAAGTGCAACTCGGGTATTAAAGAGTTAACGGATAGACCCACAGACAAATCATAGAAATGAACCAAAAGCAAGAACCTGAAGATGAGACCCATGTCTCATCCTAGTTATATGCTGGGAAGCTTAGTTACATTCTCTGAGGTTTAGATACTACCTATTTTCTGGGCATTTTCTGCTTAAGGGACCAGCTCCTAGGCTATCCCAGCGTCTGCCGGGCTGTAAGTGCCTTGTCTAGGGGACACTGTTGTGTTCAAGGGTCTTACGAGTGTTCTGCAGGCGTGCTCCTACCTACCTGGGAGGCAGGCAGAAGCGGGCTCTGTCCCCGAGGCAGAGCATTGAAGGCACCAAGAGGTGCGTGGGAAGGTTCAAGGCCACTCGGGGAGTGAGTCATCACAGAGGCAGGAACAGAAGCCAGATCTCTGGACCCCGGTCCACGCTCTACAGAGAACGTCATGCTAACGAAAGCTGAAGGGACACGGGCTGGAGAGAGCACTCTACTTCTACACGAGGGCTTGAGCGGGATCTGTCATTCGTAAAGACGATCTCTCCTCCTGTGACTCGTGTCTGGGTGACCATTTTAAAAACCAGCGGAAAGGGAGAAACCCAGTTCGTGACAAACTGCCTCTCCTCCCGGACCCGGGAGTGTGACACAGAGGGGTCTACGTATTGTCAGGAGCCACCGCCACCTCTCACGATGAGCGAAGGCCTTCACGGGACTTACATGCCGTGTCTCAGCACGTGCCTTTCCCACTCAGAGCCCTGGGAAAACGCCCGTCCGCAAAATTCACACGGAAAACGCTTCTCAGTGTTGATAGCAGCCCCACGGTCAGAAAACCTCAAGAGATCTGTGAGGAGAAAGCAGGCGTGTTACCTGTGAGCTGGAGGGACAGAAGAGAAGTCAATATTCATTAGGAGCCTCCTCTCATTTCCAGATTCCTTACTCTTTCTCCTGCTGGCCTTCACCAAAGGACTGTTTCTTGAAACTCTGGAGAACTGTTCCCAGGCCCTAGGCATCCCCACTTCTCTTCACCTCCCAACTGTTTCTGTCACAAATAACCTGAGTTTGTCTTAAGAACCCCTTCTGTTCATTCCAATGGCGTCTGAGCATTTTTTTCGATCAAATCTCTCCCTCCTGTGGTGTTCCTCTCTATCGGTGCCTCATAGTTTAGCACCTCTTCATTTCCTATTTAACACAGTTTTTCTCCACTCACTAATAAGAACACAGGCTTCTGAAAGCACCAAGGCCACGTTATGTTGTAGGAAGACCTAAAGGTTTCCACACATTCCAGGGAAAGCCGAGGGCTCACAATCTGTGGTCCTCTGCCATGGATATCTTAATTGACACCTCCCAGGGTGGCTGCAAGCACGGAATGAGACCCAAAAAGCAGAGAACCGAGCAGGAACACGAATCCCGGACGACGGGGAGATGGGAACGTGAAAGCATGTCCTCAGCTAGTCTGGGGTTCTGGCCGGCTGCCCTCCATCGGTGTATTCTTGAACATGGGGATGTGCAGACGCCTTTCTGGACAGGTCTGTTGTAATCAAGTGCTGACTATCGTTTTACTTCCTCCACGGCCCTGGGAGCATGTGAGGGGCCTGCTAAATGGGGACTGACTGGCTAATTGTTCGGAGGCCACGCCTCCTGGCAAACTCAAAGACGAGAGCTTATATGGCCTTTGTGTTATCCTGGGTCCCAAGCCCATATGTCTTTCATTATAGCACAGAGGGCCAGATCTTCACGTGGGTAATAAACAGCAGGACCTAGACGGGTCTGCAGCCACGCTGAAGAGTGAGGACAGCACACAGACAAACGCTGATCATCTCAGCCCCTCTGATCACTGTGTGCCTGGACTCACGAGATGTTACAGGAAGATGTCTCTTGGTTGAAATACTCCATCTGATAAAAAAAAAAAATCCTCAGGATGATGTTAACAGGCTAGGTGTCTCTGAGCTGCCTTCATCTGCAGCACAAAAAGCACTGTGAATGGGGCCAGTTCTAACAAAAGATGAAACATTTTCTCACAAATTAAGAAGATCACCACACAAGCCATTAAAAATAATTGCACAGACTATCTTCCTTGATTCTTTTCATTGGAAATGAGACAGCACCATCTGCTCTGCGCATTAATTCCTTAGCAGGGATTATCTTGGGCAAGAAATCAACAGAATGCCTTCCTGACTCCTCCCAACTGCATAATGAGAGGGGGTGGGGAGGACACTGCTTGGGCGCATTTTGATTTCTTCATGCCTGGTTTCCTCCCTTTCAAAGTCCCTCCGAGCTGCCTTCTGAGGCGGGACCTGCTGGGTGGCCATGGTCAGCTTCTCATGTTGGGAAGGCACGTTGGGAACGGGGTAGCTCCAAGGACGTGGGCCCCCCAAATGGAGCGCCTGACGAGGGTCTCTGCTGCCAACAAGGGGGCCTGCTCCTGGCACACTCACTTGCTTACCCCGAGGAAACATGAAACCAACCATCTATTCTTTCCAACGGCTCATGCTGTTTCATCCTCAAAGGAGGAGGCCAATCATTACCTGTCACACATCAAATGGCTTCCATTAGCCCCAGAGCTGTGCTAACGCCACCTCCCGCTCTCTCTACTCCTGGAAGACAGAACGTCTGGCAAAAACACCCTGAGGCTACTGTGTGCCGTTTCTTCTTGTTGGCAAGAATACACCTAGATGGTGGAAAATTGATTCCAAGGCGATGAGACAAAGGAGGCTGTTCTTTCAAGAATCGACGAGGGGGACGGGAAGGTTTTCCCCATTAACATGACTGGAAGTTACTCAAGTAAATCCCCCACCCTCTGAGAGAGGAACACAGGCTTCTCCACCCCCAAGTCTTTTCTCCCCATGCGGTTAAGGCTCATGAATGTGGAAGCTGCGCTTTCTAGGGAGAAGCGATCAGACACCATGAAGTTCTTCTCAGGCAAACTGAGCTGGCCTGATGCCACAGTGCCCGTGCGAGGGGGTGGCTGGGCTGGGCGGTCAAGGAAACGTGGCTGGCGCCTTGCACATCTATCTGCCCTCTCTTCCTTCTCATCGTCTATGCTGTTATTTTGGAGGTAGCGCAGGGGAGGGGAGGACTAACAGGGTTTCTTGCCTCTGCAATGCTTATAACCTGTAAAACCACGTATGCTTGGTTCTAGAGATTAAAAAGTCATGGTCTCCAATGAGGAATAATTCATTTCCTGGGGAGGAATGGTAGGGCACAGAGCCCGTGAAGACAAGGAGCCTGTGTGCCCACATGCATCCTCTTTGAGAGAACTCTGGTAACAGTGCACAGACGACGTTAAAGAATTCATCGCTAAGGACACAGTTGTGAAATGCTTTTTAAGAAAGAAGGAAGAGAAAATTGAAAACTCATGCTTCTTGAATCACAGCCGTTGTAAGAAATAGATCACTATGCCCCCTACTAATAAAAGTCGTAACTTTACAAGGGCAATCAGTCTACATGGTGTGGATGCTCTATTTATCCATTGACCACAGGCACGGGGGTTCAGAAGCCAAGCTGGGTCATCACTTAGCTGTGGTCTCCTGCTATAGTAGAGTTAAAGAACAGAAGGATGGGGTGGAAGTCAGGAAAAATCAAGAAAAAGAGGGAGAATCTTGAAAGAAAATAACCACCAAGTCGGCTTTCTGGGCTGGCAGACTGATTAAGCAAGAAAAACCAAGAAATTCCACAAAAGGACGCCTTACAATGAGGCCCCAAAGACCACTGAATTGACAGAATTCAGGGCCAGGTTCCCATCAACGAAGAACATCCACAAAGGGTAGGGGAAGTGGTACAGTAATGTAAAGACGTTTTGCCTTTGGAGCCAGAAGACTTAAACCCAACCTCCAGTGTTTTCATTTTAACTTTGAACACACTCTTAAATATTCTGGGCTTTTATTTCCCTATTTGTAAAATGCCAATAATGCCATCTACACTGCAGGGTTTTATCATTATTATTAAGTGGTTACTGTGCTCCAGGAACTGGACTAATAATGTTTGTGTGCTATCTCATTTAAGATTTACGCGACCCTAAGGAAGTGACCCTAGGAAGTTGTTATTATTAGAATGATGAATGCACAGGAGATAAAATAATTTACCCGAAGTCATATAACTAAAAAGCAGCAGAACGGGGAGCCAAATCCATAGAGACCAACTGCAAAGCCCTCTAACAGTATATAAGATTAAATAAAAACCAGTTGACACTGGGCTTGGCCCATAATGATGTTCCCCAATGGCAACTAATACCATTCTCCTCACCAATGGGGTGACATCATACTTATTTCTCAGGTTTAGGTTATCCATGTGCTTTTGATAAGTCTGCCAATAACTACAGTAAGATATCCCAACCTATATTCTTACGTAGCATGTTGGGTTTTCCACAATATTCTATGTCAAACAATACAGAATACCAGCTCTAGATCATGTAAATGTAGGTCTATAACTAAATATACTTCAAAAAACTTCATTTTGAAAATAATTATGGAATCACAGAAAGTTGAAAAATAGTACAAAAGTCCCTCAAAACTTTGCCTACTATCCCCTGTAAAGACAGTCAAATGCCACTGGTCTCCTTCTCGCTCTCTCTCTTTACAAAGCAAAAACAGTAAGCCAGGGGTTTAAGACGAGGGTCATGCAGAAGGACACATGAAGGGGTTCGGACCTCAGGCTTAAGCCCTCTGCGGCTCCCTCCCCCCATCCCCAGCAAAATACACCCCAGCAGCAGCAATTTTAAATAAGCATTCAACTGGAAATTCATTTACATTCCTCGATAGCTTTTACAGGGCCATCCATCTTGCTGTCTGTCCTTACTCTGCAGATTCCCCAGATAACAGTTTTCCTGAATAAAAACAAATCATCGCCATGTATTTTTTAACAAATGTATATCTACAGTGAAAGAGAAAACGTCTGTTTTCCTTGGAGTTTCTCTAGCTGGTAATAGTTTACAAAGACATGGCCCCTGACGTGTTGCAGCCAGTCTGTTCTGCTACTTAACGAAGAAGGATCATTCCTTCTGTTCCTCCTCCAACAACCTTCTGCCTCCCTTCTGTCTGCCCACGGCCAGGCTGGATGCCATCTGGGGCTCAGGGGGCAGGGACGGGACCAACCTCTGTCATCAGCCTTGCTGTTCATTTCTTCTTCCTTGTCTTCATCATCACTGCTGGAACTCTCCATCTTCTCCTTCATCTGTTCCAGCTGATCCAAGTTAACCCGTCCAACTAGCTCAAAGTTTCGGCTTACCTGAAAAAGACCCAAACACACACTGGAATCACAAACCACAACTGAATGCCATTCTCCCTGAATGACAGAGCTGTCCAATGTCACTTTGCTGTGGGTGTGTTTTTAGAACCAGGACCAAATTACACCAGTGCCTAAGTGGTCCTTTTCTTCATTTTGACCCTCTTATAGGCACATCTGTCTTCTGCTCCCACATTCATTTTCACTGGAACTCTCAACACTGGACCTTCCTTACCAAATTTAGTTAGAAATGTGAGCTGTAGTTAGCAGAAAATCAAGTCTCATGAGGCCAGGGGTGTAGAGTAGATGTCCAATAAACATTTTTCGAGTTAAATTCAAGGGTTTACCTTTCATGTGTGTGTGTGCGTTAGTAACTCAGTCGTGTCCGACTCTTTGTGACCCCATGGACTGTAGCCTGCCAGGCTCCTCTATCCATGGAATTCTCCAGGTCAAAATACTGGAGTGGGTTGCCATTTCCTCCCCCAGGAGATCTTCCTGACCCAGGGATTGAACCCATGTCTCCTGCATTGGCAGGCAGATTCTTTACCATCAGAGCCACCAGGGGAGCCCACATTTCAAATATATCTGGAGGGAAAGTGGCTCTGTAAGTATCTTGAAAATTAGAAGAGAGAGTCACATTTCCACCACAGCCTACACCCTGGAGGGCGGTGGGGCTGTCCCAGCTTTGACCAATGACAGTTGCTCAATTCCTAACTCCAGTTTAGGTGTCAGACAGTATTGTTACTGTTTAGTGTTACTACTGTTTCTGAAGCTGACCACAGCCTGTTCATCACAGCTGGGATTATCTGAGAAAAATCTAGATGACAAATCCCCAAAAACTCTTTGAAAGTGTTAACTGCGGCTGATTTGTGTTTATATAAAACGTGGTTAGAATAATGTGGGACTCTAAACTGGCTTCAAAAATATCATCCAAGAGAAATAAAAACTCACCCCATGAAAACTCAGTGAGGATATTCTATTTGGGGTTCTCATAACAATGGTAGCACACCATGGCCCCTCTTCAATTAATCTGTTTTCTGAACTTCTTCAGTTGCAGGCACAGAATGATCAAGAATGATAGTATAGGAGCCAAGCCAACAAAATGACTCAAACCAGCACGGTGATGGGTTCCATGCTCTCCCTGGTGGGGGCCAAGGGAAGGGCCCGTGAAGATAAACGAGACCTAGTTCTGGCCTCCAGAGGCACGGAGTTTTGAGTTGAAGAGGGAAGACAGACTTCACTAATTAGACTCCAAGGCAGATTTCCATAGCTGCTACAGTAGAGATAGCGCGTAATGAGGGCACAGGAGATGATAAGGAGAATTTACAAGACGGTTCCAAAATATTCCCTGGGACCAGCCTGGAACAAAGATGTGCTGAGCACCACCAATTCCATATGCCTGGCAGATGGAAACATCATCATCAACTGTGACAAATGCGCGACAGAGAGCCTCAGAGTATCAGGGCCAGCAGACTGTCCTGTGAGAAAGTGTAATACCTGTCCCCACAGCACCATGTGTGTGCGCGTGGGGTGGGGGGTGGGGGTCGGCAGCATTGAAAACAAGGAAGAAAACTCAAGATAAAAGCTCTCTATCCACTGATACAACTCTAAGAATGAAATCAGTTGACTTGGAAAACAGCTCAGCATGAGGGTGGAAAAGAAGTCTTCAATGATCACAGCACAAAACCCCGAGCGAAGGCAAATTCCTGTTTGCTCATGAAAAAAAGTTTAAAAAATGATTAGATTAAGATTGGACGGCATCACTGACTCAACCGACATGAGTTTGAGCAGACTCTGGGAGATGGTAAAGGGTAGGGAAACCTGGCATGCTGCAGTTCATGGGGTCGCGAAGAGTCAGACACAATTAAGCGCATGAACAAGAAATTAAGGTGAAGAGGAGGAAGCCCAGTTAGAATTTTTCTTTCTCTTCCTTTCCTCTAAGAGTTCATGGTACCAGTCAAACAAAGGATTTTTGCTTAAACCTACCTTCCTAATTAGGGTTTTATCTACTGTCCTCATGCCTACAGACCTATATCGATTTTTAAAATATTTATTTTTATAACAAAGCAAAAAGGGAAGGCACAAGGAGCAGGCGCTTTGAAGTCAGACAGATCTGAGTTCAAGTTTAGGGTTTGCCATGAACCAAAGGACTCTGAACATACACGGCCTCAGTGTCCTTGTCTGATCGATAAAGAGGGTCAGCACAGTACCCGAAACACAACAGCTCACCAAATTGTGGTTTCCCTTTCCCTTTCTGGGAATGTGGCCTTTTCCAATTTTGGCTTTTGGAAGTGTGTATAAGAAGCATCATAAATGCATATTTATGAAGTTATGTTTCACCACAAAGTCTACATTTTAATCAAATAGCATTTATGACAAATATCTGAATAAAAGTTTTCTGGGTTGCCAGGTTTTTTTTTTCTCCAGGAAAAGGAGGCAAGATTCCAACTGGCCTAATTTTGCATTATGCAAAGAAAAAATATTTTGAAATGATCGGTACTTAAAGGGGCAGCCTTTCCCTATCACTTTATCCCCACTTTCAGCCAGGTCAGCTACAGGCATGTGGAATGGGCAGGAGAGGTGGGCATTGCCAGGAAACAAAAATAATGAGACTGAGAAAGGTCAAAAAACAATCCTCAAATGCCTTCTTTAGTCCAGCAGTTTGTGCTCATTCATTCACTGATTCATTCATTCAGGACTCCCAGTGGCCCTGCCGTGTGCCAGGCCCTGTGCTGATCAAGGAACTCGAGTGACAGAAGGAGATCTGTCACCAAACCAAATGTTATTTTTTCTTTTCCGCCTTCCTCTTTCTTCTCCTTTTACAGGAAAACTGTTAGCATTTTGGATTCTGCACAATTTTAGGAGTGCATGACATTTTCACGGTTTAACATTCACCCAAGGGGCTCCCCAGGATGTATTTGTCCTGAAGATTTCTAAAACCTTTGTTTAAAAATAAAAATGAATTTTTTTTGTTATGTAATTAGAAGATTTTAAATTAAAAAATCTTTACAGGGTTGAGTTCTTACTATACCTTTAATCTCCAAACTAGCGATCCAGGATTCATCTTCATACAAAAGGAAGCCTTCCGGCTGCATTTCTGAGCCTCTGTCCCTTCCCTCCCTCCGGCCAGATTCCCTGTGTGTGTTCTCACCACCTCTTATATCTATCCGTCCAGTGCGGCTGAATGGAGGGCTTTTTTTTTTTTTTTTTAATTAAATCTGCTCCTGTCAGTCTTTGCTTGCCCTGAGGATAAAACCCCAATTTCTGACTGTGGTTTCTGTGTCTGATTATCATCTTACATTCTGGCCCACCCTCTCCCTTAAGCTGACTCCCCTTCGCTCCCACAATCCTGAACTTATTGAGGTGCCTGGGACAGGCCAGTCTCTTGACTTTGGTCCTCTTTCTGCACAGGCTGTGACCTCCGTGTGAAACTCTGTCCAGCCTGCCTCCCTCACGTGGTTCCTCCTCAGACTACCATACCAGTCTCACTCCAGTGTCACCGCATCTGGGGGACTTTCCCTCATTTCCTCCTTGGTTAAATATCCTTGCTTGAGGCTTCCACAGCAGCCTCTCCTGTCCTCCCCTTTTACACAGCCCAGGGAACTGCAGTCAGTATCCTGTAATAACCTATGATAGAAAAGAATATATATATGTGTAATCGAATCACATTGCTGTACATCTGAAACTAACACAATGTTGTAAATTAACTATATTTCAATTAAAACTAAACTCAGTAATTAACATCTTCTGGCCTGCCTCCCCAACAGAATAAACTCCATGAAGACAGAAACTCTGCATGCAGCTCAGTCAGATCTGCACTGGCCAGAGCAGTGTCCAGATTGAAGTGGGCACGGTTCTCACCTCCTAATTACTAGGTGTCTGCATTTTCATTTAATATATTTTTCTTTCCCATAAAAATATACAATGAAAAATTAGCAAACAGAAAAACTCATTTAAAACCCAACAATCTATACATAGTACCTGTAAAGCAGTTGTTATATTTCTGTATCTCTGTTCTCTATTTACAGATGATGTACAGTACTGCTTTTTTTATGCCTGGTATGACATAAATATCAATCTCTGTATATATCTATTTAATATATCTTTACATCCAATCACCATATAATACTTTGTCAAGTGAATATATTATAGTTTACTTGACTCTTCCCATGTGAGTTTATCTTTGGTTATTTCTGGCTTTTCACTATTAAAAATGCAGTAGTAAGCCTTCCTAAAAGGCTTTCATGTTTAGTTTTAGCCATGGCAATCAGAAAAGAAAAAGAAAAGGAATCAAAATTAGAAAAGAAGTCAACTGTCACTGTTTGCAGCTGACATGATAATAATACACGGAATATCTTAAAGATGCCACCAAAGAACTTCTAGAGCTCATCAATGACTTCAGTAAGATTGCAGAATACAAAATTAATACACAGAAATCTGTTTTATACTAACAGTTGAAGATCAGGAGGAGAAATTAAGGAAACAGTTCCATTTATTATCAAATCAGAAAGAATAAAATACCTAGGAATAAACCTACCTAAGGAGACAACAGACCTGTACTCTGAAAATTATAAGATGCTAATGAAAGAAACTGAAGATGAGACAAACAGATGGAAAGATATACCATGTTATTGAATGGGAAGAATCAATATTGTCAAAGTGACTATACCACCCAAAGCATTCTACACATTAAGTGCAACCCCTATCAAATTACCAATGGCATTTTTTTTTTTTTCACAGAACTGTAACAAAGAATGTTAAAACTTGTATGGAAACACAAAAGACCCCGAATAGCTAAAGCAATGCTGAGAAAGAAAAATGGAGCTGGAGGAATCAGGCTCCCTGACTTCAAATTATACTCCAAAGCTAGACATCAAAGCAGAATGGCACTGGCACAAAAATAGAAATATAGATCAATGGGACAGGATAGAAAGCTCAGAAATAATTCTTGTACCTACAGCCAATAAATCTATGATAAATGAGGCAAGAACATACAACGGAGA